GGGAAAGAGAAAAAAGAGGCAATGAGGAATAAGCTGACTTAATACTATGTACGAGAGAGGGAGAGAGAAAGGGAGGGAGGAACTAAGTATCCCAGCAGCAAGATTTGTATTTGGCTGGGGAGTTGTGGTTACCATGGAGATGGTTTCATAACTGAGCTGTTTCCATTTTCAGTTCAATTCAATTCTACTTTTGTACCACCAGGAGTTATACGTTTCTGCTTACAAACACGGTTGTCAATGTCATAGGCCAATCTATGTTTCCTCTTCTGCGTCTGGTGTTTTTAGCTTCGAAACATACTGAAAACAATATCCGCGTAGAATCTTCTGTAGTGTAGCTCCGTGCAGAATTTGAAACTTTTGCCTTTCGGAGGAATAGCATGCTTCAGTCCTCAGGTTATGTATATACCTGAAAATAAATACAACTTTTATTGATGTAATGTTAACATTTTTAAGACTTGGTACATTTTCAGCAATAGTCGAGGTTGATACAGCAGTGTGGCCCCTTGAAGCCCCGTGTTGTAATCATTGGCTTGTCTCGCTGGTTCTTCATTCCCTAACTTGTTGCTGCATTTATATTTTCCATAGACGCACAGCTGCTCTTACATTTCGTAATATTGTTTTCTTGTTTTTTTATTGGTGAATGTCTCAGCTGTTGAAATCTCTCGCCTTTATGCCCGCTGACGTGTTCATAAAATCCACCGCTAGATATATTACAATCTTTAGCCACTTGAATACGTCCACGCCCTCGTACCGTATTTATTCTGAGACATATTTTAATATTATTTTCCCATATTTACCAACGTCTCCGAAGTGGTTCTCTACCTTTCAGGTTTCACTACTAAAATTTTGCATATTTCTGCGGACTAACTACATGAAACAGAGTCCTGCTTGAGAAATTAGCAGCACACCCAATTAATTAAGAACCTTGCAGCTGGTATGGTGCCCGAAGGTTCATTTCCATGTTCACAAGAGTCCATTGCTTATCATATCTTCAGCCACATTAATCAAATCCACACCCTCCAACTCCATTTCCATTTGTTCCATTTTAATATTATCTTTCCATCCACGCCTGTGTCTACCGAGTGGTTTAATCCTAAAATGTTTACCATTTGTGCGCCTTTCTCATCCACGCGTATGTAATGTTATTAACAAAATTTGCACAGATAAAAGCACAGACCTCTGGAAGTATGAAGAATAATATTAGCTTACCTTTATGTGCCATCATCGTGGAAAATATTGAGAAGAACTGAGTACGTGTTACTGTATGATGAGGCTTGTTCTTCTCCGACAGGAGCTTGTTTTTGAGGACTTTCACTTTTGACGAGACGCTCAGCAGCGTACGTGTAGACTTAGCCACTTGAGAGTGCTTTCAGGAAGGTTAATATTAGATAACTTTGTAAAGACGCTAACACGAAACAGTGATGCTGTTTCCAAACGGGTCACTGACTTCACTTTGTTTTTGGAATGTAGGTAATGGAGAATTACTCTACTTGGAGAAGCTTCATTTTGAAATTACGTTGATTGTATAATTATGTTGGTTTTATGTCTAGTAGGTTGTGTAGACTTACATCACGCATGCAGTGATGTTTCTAATTCCTTTTAGACTAATTATTTTGGTTCTTGAATCCGTAAGGCTTCAAAATGCTTTGCTTTAGTTATGTATTCAAAGTACTTATCTGTTTCTATTTTCAAATCCGAAATAATTTAAACTTTTGTGACTTCAATGTCATTTCGTTTTGAGTGGTTTGCAAGGCAGCTCCTGTGTAGAAAGTTAGTTGAAGTTATTTGTTTTCAGCTACTGGCATAGTAACCCCACGTGATAAATCGGAATGTATCTTGTGATTCTAAATGAAACAACAAGAATATTAAAATATGATGGGATTATATGCCTCATATAGTAAAATTACAACTTTAACAAACAACCCAGCTAACTCCATGTAGCAGAGTTCTTGTTGAGAGACAAGCCTCAAGTTGAAGGCACCTGCTCTGGTGATTCCTGTTCCGATTCGTCGGTCGAATGGGTTGTAAGTAGAATCACGGGCACTTCTGGATCCTCCAGGAAGTGAATTAATACGGTAATATCTCCA